GAGCCCCCCTCCAGCCCGGCACCGGCTCCGGTTAGTCCCAGCAGGTCTTCAAAGCCCTGAGGCCGGGTGGTGGCCGCACGCCTGGGACCGACCCGGCCGGGCCCGGCGGCGCTCTCCGCGGCTCGCTGTTGCGGGCCAAAAAAGCGCCACCAGCATTAATAAACTCCCACAGGTTGTCGTTTTATTTCAAGCGCTACCCTGTAATTTAAATATTTTGATTCTTTAAACAATTACACTCAATTAACCATTCAGGTTTCCACGAAATCGGAAAGCGTTCAGGGTAAATGGGAAAGGAAATTAAATACCCCAAAACAGCCGAAGCGCGTGCAGTCCTACTTGGTACGTAGGCACCGGATCAGCGAGGTGGGAGGCCCGGAGCATTTCTTTTTGCCCTAAACAAACGTTTGCCTGCGCCGGGGACACGAGAGCAAGCCCTGCCCGAAAGGCGCGGGCAGGAGCAGGGCTTCCAGGGAGGCTGCACGTCCAGGTTGTGCTCTGTGTCTGATTTTCCCTGCATCTTTCTTTACTAAGCGTTTCAGTTTTACAAGACTTCAACCTATAAATCTTCCCAGATGCTAAATAAATCACGTGCCACCCACCACCCTTCTTGTAGAGATACAGTGGGTTAAGATATGGTGAGAGCTGGTTTAAAGGAATGGATTTAAACAATTACCTTAATTACAAGAGCCGTATCATCTTTCAAGAAAACAGGTCTCCAGGGAGGACACCTTCTGATCAGTCACGTAGATTTGCGAGCCTGCAAGGCCAGCAGCCTCTCGCCCATCAGCCGCGCTCCAGCTCAGCCCGCCGCTTCTTTGCGTTTGCACAACAGATGGGCCAAGGGGGTACCAAAGCATCTTTATAAACAATAAATAACACGGCTCTCTCCAGGCCCCACATCACCTGCCAGTCAGTCCTCACCCAGCGCATCACCGGTGTTCACGTTTCGTTTAGGCTTTTTTTTTTTTTTTAAAGTTGATAAAAACTGCTGAGACTTACTGATGCGCTTTAGCCATTTCCTCGCGAGGCTGAGCCCAAAACGCAGCACACACCTGAGCGTTTTGGGGAACCGGCAGGTGGAAAGTCCCAAATAAAAGACTGGCAACAGCCCCGGTGGGCAACACCAGCGGTGCCCTGGCCAGCAGCCCTGCAGGCCCCCTCCTCATCCTCCTGGGAGCAAGCTCGGGGACTCGCTCAGCCTCATCCATCACCTCCCTCTCCGGGTCCCCCTGCAAGGTCATCTCCCTGTCTCCTAGTCACTGCTTGCTTTAGGACATGATTATTTCCCAAATCACTAAATATCAGGAGCAGCTTTGTAACTTGCTTGGTTCTTTATTACACTTATTGATTTTAAAATATTTTAACAGCTCGTTTATTGCTGTGTTAAAGAGCTCGGCAAGGCAATAAAGTCACACAGCATCCTTAGTGATAAAACAAATAATCCTCTGAGCTGCAGAAATCGTGCCTTTGCTCTCAAGTCAGAGCTTCTTTTAAGCATTAAACAAGAGTGACAATACCTTAAAGGCTGAGTATCTGGACAAAATCCCCCCACACTCGAAGTGGGCTGGCAAAATAAAGTGTATTAAACCACTGCCAAAACCCTGGCGGAGCTAAGCAACCTGCCACGGCTAGGAAACAAAGAAACCTTGCTCAGCTTAAGGTGCTTAACACAAATGGTCATTTTTAATATGCTAGTTTATACCACTAAGGCAGTGCAAGCCAGCGATGACTTGCCGTGGGCTCGCTGTGTCCATCCTACGTTAACGGTGGCACTGATGTGCTAAAGGGAACCCTTGCAGGTTTCACTCGCAGGGGGGTCATCTATTTGCCACCCTGTCAACGCTGGCTTGGGTAAAAACACACTAACGCGCGTATTTGCAAATAGTTTCTAATGAGATTTCCTTAAAGCCAAACGTCCTGTGGCAGAGGAGAAGCAGCAGGGCTGTCTGGCTGCCGGCACCTCTTCAAGAGGCCAGCGAGGGCCCCAGGAGGAACCCTTCCAGCGCCGACCCACGAAGAAGGTGCAAGGAAAGAGCCCCTCGACCCCCAGCCCCATTCCCAGCCCACCGGGTGAGCGGCAGCTGCAGCCTCCCTGCTCCGCAGCCAATTCCTCCTTCATGGCGCTCGGGCACAGCTGAAGACTTTTCCCTCCATGCAGGCAACCCAAAAAGCACTTTTGTCAAGAGGCAGATGGGGCATGGGGATACCCCAGCACAGGCACGGCGCCAGCATTGGACTTCTGCATTAGAAAACGTCACTGTACGACTGACAGGTCCCACGTTGACTGCCAAAAGGGCATTTCTAGCGGCCTCCCCCAGGGGCACAGGGATGCCGCCACAAGCGTTGCGTGGTCCGGGGTCTTCAGACAAGCTTGGTAGATGCTGGGAGGGTGGGCTTGCTCCGGAGATGCTGACACGGATGGCAATTACTGTGTCTCATCCCATGTAGATCAAGGAGCAGTCAGGATTATTTTTTGCATGACTTTCTGCTGCTAATTTTATTAAAACTGCCTAACAAGCATACGGCATCGAAAGGCTGCCTTAGAAACTCTTCACTGAGTACATAGCAGAATTATTATTTGTGAGGCAACCCGCTGAAACATCAGCTTTTTATTGCAAGAACCACAATAACACGCAGACAGAGGTTTTCATTCCTGCATCCCCCCACCTGCCCTGATATTGCAATTTTTATCAGGCACAGCCAGCACCAGCGGGGGCCGGAGCAGACGCAGACCTGGAGGGGCACAGAGCCGAGAGCAGGGTGCGTGCCAGA